GAGCATCAGCACCTTCGGGTGCCAGTGGAGCTCCGCGGAGTTCTGCGCGTGTTGTGTTGCTTGCGCTGGGCTCTGCAGGGTAAAAAGTGTCACTGGTGGAAAAGGTTTGTGTGCCAAAAGACTGGGGGATAATAGACATCATTCTAAAGGTTTTTGTCTCTCTCATCCAAAATTTGCAAGAAACCAATTTTGAGTTGAGCTTTCATTTGATTTTAATAATAATTTAGCTTCTGAAGACTGTCTTTTATTTATGCATAGGAAGGAATATTTATTGCATGCGATTGGCAGTGGAGTTTGTTGGGTTCCTAGTAAAGAGTTTGTACAGGAAACTTAAATAAAAGCTGTTGGCTTGGCTCTCTAGTATTGTGCTAGAGCTGGTGACAGGTGCTTCGAAGCTTTCTGGGTCAAAGTAAGCATTGTGGGGGCATGGGGGCTTTTGGTTTTGTTGGTTGGTTGTTTTTTTAAACAAATTGGGGTTTTGGATGTTAGGAAGTATTTCTTCTCTGAAAGGGTTGTCAGCCACTGGAATAGGCTGCCCAGGGAGGTGGCTGAGTCCCCATCCCTGGATGCGTTTAAGAATAGGGTGGATGATCTACTTGAGGATATGGTTTAATGGGGATTAGGGATGGTTGGACTCGATGATCTCTAAGGTCTTTTCCAACCTAGAAATCTATGAATCTATGAAATTCTCTTAACTGGAAGGACTAGTGTTTGTTGTAGCTAATGAGTGAGAACTTCTGGTGTATGTAACAAGAAGTGCCAGCCAGCACACGTGAGTCTGGCAGCGGGTGGGGGGTTATGAAAGGTGTGTTGGCATGGCGGGTGCTGGTGCTGACGGGAAGCACGGAGTAGGTGGCACAGGGAGCTCCTGGAGCTGAAAGCAGAGACCTGGGGCTGTGCCCACTGTCTGCAGAGGCCGTTGGGAGAGGGAAGCGGAGATGGAGCTCTCTGAACACAAAGGGCCAGTGTAATATTAGTTATTACCTGATTTCCCAGCACTCACCCAGTACAGCTTTTATTCCGTGTGTGAGCATGTTCTGTTTAAGGGTGTTTTTAACAGAGAAGCTATCAGAAGAATAGATATTCCAAACTCCTGAAAACCAGGCTATCTGTGTAACCCCCAACTGTGGTGAGTGGTGAGTTTATTTTTCCTGATTACTTTCATAAGTGTGTTCAGCATTGTTGTACAAACAACTTTGAAATCTACGATGCAACTTTGGGGGAATTCATACAATGATTTTTCTAGTGTGATTCATAAGGAAACTTTAGATTTTGGTTGATGCAATAAGAGTTTTTTAACTCTCAACTGAAGACATAAAGGTCAAATAGCTACATTATTTCTTCAGTTTAAAAAACTTATTATTTTTTTAAAGTATTGATAAAATGCTTGTTCAAAAGGCCCAGTAGAACTTGCAGTCCTAAGATCATGATTTCCTCGTTTTAAAAACAAAAATAAATTACTTCTAAAGCTGTCTGGAAAACTGCATTTTTAAAGTACTGGTGTAGGCAATAATCACTGAGACTGTCAGTGGTTTGTGTACCTTGTGCTGCCCTCACTTTGTCCTACTCCATGAAAACGTAGTGGTTTAACTGTGGTTAAACCATGTACCTGTTCTTCAAAATAAAGTCTTGGAAAGCTTTGAGGGATTTGTGCTTCAGCCATTGCCCTTTCTTACTGAACTTGGTAAAACATTTGTTTTCCTGGAAGCCAGTATCTCCGCAGGTGCATAAGCTGGCTCGTTGGGAGATGCTAATTTGTTCTTTTTAAACTCCCTGGGATTCTAGAGCATTTTGTGTTCCCAGAACGGGCACTTGCAAGGGTTTTAGACTCTTCTTTGAAGAGACTCCTCTGCTGATGTGTAAGGTGTGTGAAACTACTTCAAGACTGCCGCCAGTTTGCAGTCTGAAAGAGGAGTTGTTATTCTAGTGACTTGAAGAACCTTACGGGAGAAGTGTGCAGTACACCGCGTGCTCGGATGGTGTGTACGTATTCACCAGCACCATATGCTCCACCTGGCTATAGACCTTATACGAACCGATGCTGATTGTCTCAGTGCTTTTATTTTACAGGAGATTATGAGTGTGGTGATGGCAGTTGCAGGTTTGCCAGCTGCACGTTTTAATTTGTCTGCAGTACTGGATTTCTTATGGCATTATGACTTTGTGAGTACCCGTAGGCGTTTTCAGGTATGTGGAAGTGAGATTACAAAACGTTGTCTTAGTAGATTTAAGGTGGTAGGGATTAACTGATGGTTAGTTCTCACTTTTCTAATTTGGGAGAGGGCTGATGAGCCTATAGGATGGGGTCTGAGGTGTAGGGGTGGCTGCCGCAACGTGCCAGCCTGGCGATCCGTGGCAGATTGCACCCTGGCACAGTGCAATCCATGTAGCTCCACACTGGTGGTGGCGGGGCTCCTTGCTGGTCCTGGCAACAAGGTCCCAGACCTCCTCAGAGTGCTGTAGCTTTGGAGGCCAGGCCTCCACAGAAGCTTTCCTTTGAGAAACTTCTCTGCTATAGTTTTGGTTTTTTTTTGTCTGTTGCCTTTCCCTTTTATTCTTCCCTCTCATGGTATAAAGAAAAGAAGAAGTTGGTCTTTTTTGAGACCAAAGTGTGAAGGAAATGGAAAATGTGATGCTCTACATACATACCAAGGTAGATTGCTATGGTGAGAATCTTCAAGAGCATTCATGCTGCTTTTCAGAAAAACTTGTGGGAAGTGGCAAGTCTTGGCCTTCTAGACAATAATCTCTTGCATGTAATACACAGATCCAGCATCGTATGTCAAAGGTTTGCGTACAATGATTGCGTGTGGAATTTCCCCCGTACTGAGTGTGCTGCAAGCAAGCTGCACAGGGAAAGAAGTCGAGACCTATACTGTCTTAAAAATGAAGTTTTCTTGTTTGGCTTGTGTCTTAAACCTTTTGTGTATTTATTTAAGGAAAAAGAACAATTATGCTAGCTGGAAGAACTAATAGGAGAGAAAAAAGATGAAACACGTACAGACGTATAGTAACATAGAGTATTTCATGTTTAATTTATTTATAAGGCCGAAGAAATAACTCTTCAGTTGCAAGTAGTTTGCTGCAGATCTTGACAAGCAAGCTGGATGTTGCCAGAGGTAATGGTTTATAACCCAGCCTGGTGTGTTTGGTGTAGGATGGGCAGGCTGCCCTATGGACCAGCAGGCGCGCGGTGCAGCGCCGTGCCAGAGTGGTGCCGCAGCAGGGCTGGCGTGTCGGCTGAGCGCCCGTGCCAGGCATTGGGTAGGGCTCCCGGGCTCCCCCTGCCCAGCCCTGGGACGGGCAGCCATGGGGGCTCCAGGCCCAGGGCCACTCCTGCCGCGTTGTAAGTCCGCTGGCGTTCCAGCGTTGGCACGGGGCTTTGCGCGTTGCCTGCTCTGCTTCAAGCCTTAATGGTGCTGAATCTCTTGTGTGGAGACTGCTGGGGGAATGTGGGGCTGGCACAAAGGTGCCTTCGTAACCGGAGGGCTTGGAGAGCTGACGGGAGCCCTTCAGACTGGATGCGTCGTGTTCTAATGCGACGCGAGCTGCCGCCGTCCTGGGAAGATGGATTAGGTTGTGCCTGCTTAAGATTCAGGTCAGTTCCATGCAAATTTCTCATTCAGTATCCGAACACTGGGTCTTTTAAGAGTTTGTCTGACCCACATAGGGCTCGCTTCAAACCCTCTGCAGCCAGACAATAAAGTCCTGCACTTATTTCCAGCCACCCAGTCTTGTCCACTGCCTCTGCTGCTGCTTCTCCCCAAGGGACCTGCTTCCTGACCAGCAGTGCATCACTGTGCCCATCCTGGGTAGGAGAAGCTTTGCTGTTACACAAGGAGTACTGGGGTCACAGTTCCTGGCTGGAAAGCAGGATGGAGTTCTGTTAGGCAGTTGTGGCTGTAGAAATAGTTTGATGGGACGGGAGGGTAGCTAAAGGTGATCTTGTCAAGCAAATCAGCTGTTGTGTTGTGATGAGGATTTGGTGGCCATCTGGCTGGTGGCAGGGTGTTCTTGCTCTGCTTTTGCCACAGTGTTGTAAGTGCTTGTCGCATGTACCAGTACAGAAGAGTTCAAATGGGCGGTGTGTGTACATATACTTGTATATTGAAACACTCTCCTGTCGTTCAGCTTTCGCAGCAAATACCAGAGCGCTCTGGCTTGCCTCTGTCTAGACTTTGTTTAGGAATTATTAATACTGCAATGAAAATTGCTAATTAATGTATTGCTACCCAAAGCGTCAACTTGTCACAACATTGTCATTAGTTTCTACAAATGGTCTGTTCTGTGTAGCCTGGATTCTGACATGGTAAAGCCATCTATTAATTCTCATCTTCTCTCCTTACAGTAAAAAATGGCGTTTCAGAAGGCAGTGAAAGGAACTGCTCTCATTGGAGGAGGTGCCATAGCAACAGTTTTTGGCCTCTCTCAATTTGCTCAGTATAGAAACAAACACGTAAGTATTAATTATGATTTCTGATAAAATATGAAACTTAAAATCTGTTTGAGCGTATGTTAGGCTTATACGAATAGTTTTGTTTGGCACGGAATGCCAAGAGCCTCTCCGCTCGATTCGGTAGGTGTTAATCTGAAGGATGGCGTTAAACCATGTTTCACTATTGTAGGTATTTAACTGGTGGGGAAGTGAGATTCTCGTCAATCATTTTAAAAAGTGACCTTTGGGTACTACTAGGGATTTTACTTCATTGCAGGAGGAGTGGAAAGTACTGATTGAAGTATAAGCACTAAGAGTTTGGACAGTATTTTCCAAATTAGAAGCTTGAAGTGAAACCACTACCTCTGAAAAATCTCAGCTTCAAAACAGTCGTGTTGGCAGCTCTCGTTCAGCTCAGAAAGTTGAGAGCTGTTTTAGGATAGGATCCGTGCCAGAGAAGCCAATGGTGAGGCCTTGTTGTTCCTGGTGGGCATTGACCTCTACCTAGGTGGGCACAGCCACGGCACTGGTGTACTCCAGGCACACTTCAGTGCTGTCTTCCAGGTAACTAAAGCACACGGACAGAATAAATTCCCCGAGCAGCACAGGGTGGTGTTGGAGGCTTACTATTGATGCAAAGTAGTGGTAGCAGAAAGAGGTGCAGTAGATTCCGGTGCCAGTTTGTGGAATTGATCCTTGCTGTTGTAGGAAACAGATTTCATTGGCGTGGCTGCTCCTTGCAGTAGAGCCGGAGTCACCGCGCTCTTTGACTTGCTTCTTGATGCAGGAGCCAAGGAGAAAGCGGTAAAAGGAACGTGTGTCGTGGGCTGGTTTTAGGCAGAGCTGGTGTGGATCAACAACTGCTCTTTGTCTTAAAGCAAACAAATGCCTGTAATTTTAATGCAATTGTGCTGTGCTTTAGAGTTTTAAAGTAACCGTGTCTGGGCTTTGTAGATGCGTATGAGCAACCTGGTGTAGTGGAGGGTGTCCCTGCCCATGGCAGGGGGGTTGGAACTGGATGATCTCTGAGGTCCCTTCCAACCCAAACCATTCTGTGGTTCTATGATAAGGGAACGTGTCTTCTGATCTTGTGTTAGATGTGGGTGTGAGGCTGGCACCTCGCACTTGGCCAACCATATTTGCAATCAGAGTTCCGTAAACTGGTTGAAGTAGGTGTAGTCAGAGCTCTGGCCTTATTTGCTTCGGTCTGGGTTTGGGAAAAGCTTAAGCCCAAGGAGCTACTTCCTCCTTCCTTTGGGATGGTGTCAGTCTGAGCAGCGAGGTGAGCAGGCGCTCGTTTTGCATTTCACCTTGGAAACGTAATCGGGCAGCTCTCTGTCCAGGCAGGCTGCTACTCCGTGAGCTGCTGTAGTTACCACATGTGTGCGGCAAGTTGCCCTTCAAAGTGGGCAAACTCAAAGTAGGAACAGAAGAAGTGGATCTTAATGGTCTAGTTGCAGGTGAAACAGTGGGTGATGGGAGGAGGTGTTCCTTGCTTAGCTCCATGAAGGTGTGTATTATATCTAAATAAATGATAATCTGAATCTTCTGGCTGTTTCTGTGAGGAGGAGGAGTAGTGGCTGAGGCATTGATAAAGCAAATGAGATGAGTCACTTCTGGGGAACCTAACTGGAAAGTGGATAAGCCAGGATCCTTATGGCTTCAGAAAAAACGTTGCAGAAAATAAAACCTAGCATTTAAAGTGAGCTTCCCATTGGGCTGCCTGTCTTGCACCTCGCTGATAATACTGCTTCTGACTCTCTCTGGAGTCTTTAACACAGGATTTACAATCTGGCTTCATTACTGCCAGAAATGGCAGCTTCAAATTTTAGGACTCTTAAATAAGAGAAGGAGTTGGAAGTGAAAAGGGATTTGGATAAATCACTTGTATGTGCGGTATTCCAGAATTCAGGGAGTTCCCATTTTTCTGGGAATGGATGGCCATTATGAATTTCCAGAGACAGACTAAAAACCAAAGTTTCACAGAAGGTGATTGTGGTGTCAAAATGAAATAATCACTTGTCCTCCAATTTCCAAACCTATTGTGTAGGATCAGTCTACAAAGGATCTGAAGATTTCCAGCATATGTGTAAGCAAATGGATCTGTCAAGTGAACAGCGTGTTGTTTTCATGTTGTACGAACTTGCACATTTCCCATGTGATGTCCCTTAAAGCCGCTGCCTTAAACACCTAATATAGGGCAGCAGGTGGAACGTAACTGGAGGGATTGACACAAAGGAGGACAGTCCGTTTGCCGTGTTGACATATCTAAGCTGTGGGCATGTCCCCCAGCCCAAGTGTCCTCTTTTTAATAATGCCTGCCAATCAAATGTATGCTAGGGCAGAGATCTTGTCTTCCTTTGCCAGGGAAGGATATTGCCCCAAGATGTGCACTAATTGGCTACACACTGTAGGAAATCTGTTGTTGTTTCAAGAACAGAATCCATCACGTAATAAGACAGAAATAAAATGCTCAGTTTTTTAGTTCATATTGCTTCGCTCGGTGACTGGATGTCTGTGCTGTGGCTGGCATCTGGAATTAGGGGCACCCAGTTACGGAATGAAGTCCTTGGCTGGCTGATAATCCCGAACACGCAGTCCAGTTGATCTGTCTTTGTTTTCCATGGTCACTCAGCTGGTGGTTGATGTTTCTGTGGAACTTGGCTGTCTCGAGTGATTCCAAGAGAGAAGCTGAGGGGTGGTAAAGTTCTGGCCCTTGAGAATGGGTGGGAGATGGTTTGGATTTGTTAGTGGAGCATACTAGTGAGTGGTTTGCCTACTGAAAGGGATGAGTATTGGTGGTTTCTGATGCTGAAATTTAAATTGTCCTTGCTGGGTTTGAGAGTCAAAGCCTGACTGCGAGGCGGATGGCACGGTTAGCACGGGTAGCCTTGTCCGTACGTGAACAGCTGGGAAGTGGTTACACCTCGGAAATAAAACACTCCATTGATTCAGATCTGTCCAGGTTTTCGAGATTTTTTTTGTCATGACTTATTTTTCTACACACACGGACATTTTGGAGCACGTTTCTGCAGCAGCAGTTGAGGCAATATAACCTGAGAATTTATATCTCTGTATGGCATGGGCAGGCATACAAGCAGTCCAGTAAATTGCCCTTATTGTGTGTTGGGTTTCTTGACAGCACACGGTTCCTG